TGGAGTCCCACCACCTTGAGCCGTCCTCCTACCAGGGCTGCTGCGGGGCCAAGACCCCGGAGTTCCTGCGGGTCCAGCCGCCGGAGAAGATCTCCAGCCGCCGGCGCCTGGTGCTGATTCTCGTGTCGACGGTCATGTGCTGGTGCGTGCGCATCATTCATCTCCCCGCCCCCCCCCCCCTCTCCCCTGCGCTGGCCACTCGCCAGCCTCGCCAGCCTCGCAGCCTCACAGCTGACCCCGCATTCCCCCGGCCCTCCATGTGTGCAGCCTCACCACCGGTATTGTGTTCGGGTTTGCCGCCCTCAAGTCCATGCTGATCGCTGATGGGGTTTATCATGACCTGTGCGAGGTGGCGGATACCTCCTCGGCCCTGTCGTCGGCCTCCTCGTTTGCCGGATCGCTGCTGGGCCAGCTCCCTCCCATGCCCAGCATGACCACCGCCGGCGGGCTGATCATGAAGAGCTTGCTCCCGCTTGTCTCCGGGTCGGCCGGGAGCTCCGCCTCCTCCTCGTTGGACGGCTCCGGCCCCTGCACGGCTCAGATCCTGCGCATCGACCTCATGTTCACCATTGCCTCCTTCGGGACCAATGTGCGTCTCGCATCCCCTGGCCCTCCTGTCCGCTTCCGTCTGTCTCTCCCTGGCCCTCTCCATCCATGAACCATGGTTGTTGACAGCTTCTCCTTCCTCGCTTCTTCCTCCGGGGCTTCCGAAAACAACGCCTCCCAGGGCATTTCCCCGATCGTTGGCTTCATCCTGGATCGCTATGGCCCGCGCTTGTCTCTGATGATCTCCTCGGTATGCATCGCCGTCGCGCTGGTTCTCTTCTCGGCGTCCAGTTCCAACCGTACGTACACTAGCTCTCCCTTTCATCCTGCCTCTCCTCCTCGGCCGGGCGATCCTTACCAGCGCGGCGTCTGCCAATCCGATAATAACACTGCGTCTGAATCCTCCCCCCCCCCCCCTCTCTCTCCCCCCTGCACTACACAGCCGCCTTCGACATGTACCACTTCTCCTCTTTCCTCCTGGCCGTTGGCGGCACCTTCGCCACGATCCCCGTGCGTCTCATGGGCTTGCTCCCTCCCTCAGCCCACTTGCTTCCTTTAGCCAGCACTGACATGCCCTCCTCCTTCTCCCTGCATGTGCCTCGCCTCTTGCAGCTCATGGGTATCTGCAATGCTTTCCCCAAGCGCTCCGGCCTGATCATCAGCTGCTTCTCCGGTGCTTTCGACATTTCGGCCCTGATCTTCCTCATTTTCCAGGTATGCCTATGCCCCTGTCTATGTCTATGCCTCTGTCTATGCCTCTGTCTATGCCTCTGCCCATGTCTATGCCTTTGCATACACGCACACACACACGCGCACGCACGCACCAGCAGATCCACACTCTCCCCTCGGCACACAGGGTCACTCACCCCTTTCCTCCTCCCCTGCTGCAGCTCCTCTACCAGCATGCCAATGTCGCCATCTCGGACCTTTTCCTCGGGTACCTGATCGTCCCTGCCATCATGGTCGTGTTCTATGGCACACAGATGCCGGACTCCACTTTCAAGGCGTCGCAGCTACCCCCGGACACTCTCAAGTCGTTGGAGGCCGAGCTGGAGAGCGATGACCATGACAGCTCGCCCCTGCCCGAGCCGAAGCCCGCCGCACCGGTCAACAATGCCGTACGTCAACGCTCGCACGAGTGCATCCCTCCCCCCTCCAACCATGCCCCTGTGCCAGCCTGGCCTGACAAATGCCGCTTCCCCCCTTGTTGCATTGGTGCCCTCGCCTCTCCCACCGGGTGCCGATACTGCCCCCCAGGACTCGGCGATGCACAACATGACTGCCTTCCAGCAGATCTTCTCCCTGCGCTTCCTCTTCCTGGCCCTCTTCACCTGCATCTACTTCTTCCGTCTGAACTTCTTCATCCAGACAGTCGAGGACCATGTCCGTGAACTTGGCTACTCGGAGACCGACAGTACGCTCTCTCTCTCTCTCTCTCTCTCTCTCTCACACACACACACACACATACACAGCGACGCACGGCTAGTTTACACCCTCTGCATGCCCCCTGGCCATTGCTCACCGATCATCCGCCCTCCTCCCCAGCTGTCTTCATCACGCAGGTCTTCTCCATCATGCTCCCCCTGGGCGGCATCATCGCCACGCCGCTGACCGGCTGGATGCTTGACCACCTGCCCTTCTATGTGACTTTCCTATCGATCTCCGGCTCGCTGCTGCTCTTCAGCGTGCTGATCCTCATCCCCTCGCTGCCGCTGCACTATTTGGCCTACGCCATTTTCAGTGTCGTCCGCCCGATGTTCTACGGCTCCTTCACGGACTATGTTAGCCGGGTGTTCGGCTTCCGCCACTTTGGCAAGGTCTACGGTGTGCTGGCCTTCCTCGGTGCCCTCATGAGCCTGGCTCAGTATCTCTTCTCCTACTGGGGCAACACCGCCCCGAGTGGCTTCCTCGGCCCAAACATTTTCTTCCTGGTCACCATGGTGGCCTCCCTGTACTTCCCGGCGCAGCTGTACTTCCGCCACCGGGAGCTCCGCGATGCGGCTGCCAGTGCCACCGACGAGAGCGTCGCCATGGTCACCCTGCAGCATTACGATGACGATGACGACAATGGGTCTCCGCGTCTCGGCGCCCTGGCCGCCGCCACGGCCGGCTTCGCCCTCGATCACGACGACGACTATGATGACGACGATATCTTCGCCGACAGTCCGACCGATGATTTTCTCCCCTCAGACGTCCGGTGAGGCGGACATCCCCCTCCCCCGTGTGTGAGGCTTTCCCTTGACCTACAGACCCAGCCACACACACACACACACACACACACACACACACACACACGTGCCTCTGGACACCGTGGCATTCTGCCATGAGCCGGGAGGATGTGTTCCCCATCCAATGTGTATCCCTCCCCTTCCCTCCTCGCCATCTGGCACCGTCTCCTTCTCTGACGGCTCTCTTGCTTATAGATATTCCTTTTTGTAGAACAAAAACAGCCCCTTGTCTATTTTCTTGCCGCCACCGGGGGAGGATCCGGCGTGCTCGAGGGAGGGGGCGAGTCGATTGAAACGTCCGGCAGATCGCCCGTCAGGGGAGCCGAAAAAAAGAGACACCCGGCCACGTCCACACAGGCAATCCGCGCCGCAGGGGGCCGGGACAGACCCCCATCAGCCGGGATGCCGGCCCCGCCGAAGCGGTCCACCACCTCGGCCACCGAGCGGAAGAGATCCGAGCTGGGCGGACAGCCCGAGGAGGGCAGGAGCGTCGCCTGGGATGCCGCAGCCCCGGCCAGCGGTCCGCTCTCGGCCGCAAACACCCACACCAGCGCATCCGGAGGGGGAGGGTTGCTGCGGCGGAAGGAATGGTGCCGCGAGGGTCGGAACAGCTCGAAGTACTGGGCTTGGGATCGCCCATCAGGTGATGCAGGGGACTTGGCGCCGGCATCCCGATCAGATCGCCGACGGCCGAGCATATCCAGGGCGCGCCGTGCCCGGGCCGTGAAAACACCCGACGTCCGGCAGTTCGGCCGAGTATGCCGAGCAAGTGACATTTGTGCGTAGGGTGCAGGCGGGGGCGCGGAGCCGGAGCCGGGGGCCGGCGACGAGTCCAGGATGCTGGCCAAGGGTGGAGATGGGCCCGGGCCAGGCGCCGGCAGGTGGCGTGGCCGCCGAAAGACGAACCCCAAACGCTTGAGAATCCCATACACAGCCAGGTAGGAGGTATCGCAGTCCAATCGAGCAGGAACCTGCTGCCGAAGCGGCATTGCCGCCGTGGCATGGCACAGGTGCCCGAGCCACGCGCGAAGAAGGGCCGGCGACAGGAACCGCACGGTCTCGGGCGTTTGGAGGAGACACTCCGCCAGCAGCGGATCCAGCAGCCCAACCAGACACCGGCAGGGCAGTTCCAGGGCCGCCAGCTCGGGCGTGCTGGACAGGCCCGGGCTTTGCAGGAGGGACATCGGCCGGATGGCCGAGACGGGGGCCGGCTGGTCCGTGTCTCCCGGAGGCCCATCCGGCGGACAGGGGGATCCCGTCGGCGTGCTGTCGCCAGACAAGGGGACGCACGGGGAGGCCGCCAAGCCGGCACCCTCTACCGGCTGGAGACCGGCGTCAGGGGCCAACCCGCTGGCCGGGCGCCCACCGCCACACATGCACCGGGGTGCCGGGCTCTGCCGAGCCAGGGCCGCCTCGTAGGATGACTGATCGCAGATGAGGAGCGAACCACGCTCCAGCAGGAAAACCGCCTCCTCCGGTGCCAGCCATGTCCCGGGCAGGGGAAAGTGCGCAAGACCCATGCTCTTGAGAAGCGGCCCACGAGAGCGCAGGAGTTTGGCCGCGCCGAGGGCCGGGTACCAAGCGGCCAGCGAGCGTTTGTCTCGGGCGCCGATGGGCATAAAGCACCCCTCGGCCTCCAGCGGCGCCAGGTGGGACATCTGTGCCGCGAAGATGACCGACGGGTCGTGGACCTTGACGCCGGCATGGCTGGAAAAGAGGGGCGGCGCATGGCGCTTGCGCTGGCTCTGGCTGGGCGGGTTTCGGGCCGCGGCCCGACCGAGGGTCAGCCAAAAGGCCGCTCCCGAATCGACGTCCGAGTCATGGTCCGAGGCGGAGGGCGAGGAGTTTGGAGCATCATCCATATCTCCCCTTCGGGCAGGAAAGCGGGAGGAAAGGGAGCGGACAAAAGAGGGAGACGGTCGAGGTGAAGGAGGGGGCGTGCCGGAAAAATGGGCACATGAGCCGGGGAACGGGGCTTTTTATATCGCCCTACTCGAATAAAACACAAAAGATCGCTAATGTTTCAATGTAGTTACACATTGTTCTACAATATCTAAATGTTTTTAGGCAACAAAGTCCTCCATTTTTGTAGTTAGTGGATACACAACAATTGCTTTTTTTCATTTGCCTTGAGGCCGTGTATATTACAAAAAAGCCATACGTTTTTGCACATATCCATTTATTCTTGGATGTGGGTGCTCCACGAGATTGGCCTCGGTATTTCAGCAGCCATCGCACGGTGGGTGGCCGCCGGGCAGACTAGCAACGCTCTCCGTCCGCCAGTTTGCCGCCCCCCTTTTCCGCCCTCCCTCTTGTCCTCCTTTCTTTCCTTCCCCCGCCCCCTCCCAGCCTGCTCTTTTTGTCTCCTCCCTCGTCGTCCTTCACCCCATGAGCTTGTCGCTGTCACCGGCCGAGGTGGATGCGCTCCGGCCCTGGCTTGACTCCACCATCGAGGAGCTCTTCCTCCTGCCCAATCCCGAGCTGGCCGATGTCGTGGTCACCTCCCTTGCTGAGGGGACTCGCTTCTCGCAACTGCGCTGTGCGTGTCCCCTCTCCGCTCCCTCTGCCCAGATCCATGGCTGGTCTTGCCTTTCGCCTCCACTTGCCTCTGATCGTGCTTTTGCTTCCCCACATTGAAAGCTCGCCTACTCTCGGTCGTGAAGGATGAGCTCGGTGCCAATAAGTTCCTAAACCTCATTCAGGCCAAGGTCGAGTCGCTGGCCCGGTCTCGGAAGCGGCCGCTCGAGGGCGCTGCCGAAAGCCCGGCCAAGCGCGCCCACCAGGCTCCCGCTGAGCCGAGCCCCGTGCCCACGACCGCGTCCACGCCCTCGGTGCGATGATGTCCCGCCCTCCGGGGAGGCACCACCCATCCGCGCGGGTCCAACTTCAATCTCTAACCCCCTTTCTTTGACCCTGCTTCGTGCCCCACCGCCCTTCCTTCCCCTCCGTCCTCCCTCCCTGCTCGGTCTAGGCGGCTGCCTCGGCTGACGCGGCTCGGGCCAAGCTCGATGCACTGCTGGCTGGCGGGAATCCTGCTCTCCAAAAGGCTCTGGCGTTCGAGAGTGCGTCTTGCCACGCCCGCCTGGATGCCCGCATCCGGACACCCTCCCTTCTTCTTCTGCCGGGCCGTGCCGCCCCCTGCTGACGGCTTCGCTTTCCCCTTCACCACCACCCAGTTCCCCAGCCCAAGGCCCAGGCCCCAGCGGCACAGGCCTTTGTGGCTGCTGCCCCTCCAGCCGCCAATGCTGCCTCTCGTCCGACCGCCGCGACCACCTCGGCCAAGACTGCGCCGGCCAAGGAGCCGGTCAATCCGTATCTCGCGCCGGCGACCGCCGCCTCGCGCTTTAGCCGCCGCCACCGCAATCTGACCTTCTTCGAGCCGGGCGCCATCGTCGACCAGGCCGAGGCCCAACGCAAGCAGGTATGTCCGGCGGCCCCATTTGCCCACTCTCCCGGATGCGGTCTCTGACCGATGGATCACTCTCGCCCTCGCAACGCGCGATCTCCCCCTGCCCTTAGGCGCGGCTCGATGAGCTCAAGCGCAAGGTCGAGGAATCCCTCAACAAGGCCGCCATCAAGGAAAACCTCGACCTGTCGGACACCTTCGAGGATCCGTACTGCGGCGATCCGCCGATTGTCGAGTGGTGGGATGCCCAGTTTGTCACCTCCTATGCCGGGGTGGACGCCGGCGAGGCAGGCCTCGACTACACGGCTGTCTCGCACCTGGTCCAGCACCCAGTGCCTCCCGAGGCGCCGATGCCCATCCTGCCGCCTCCCACCAAGGAGCTCTTCCTCACGAAGCGGGTGCGTGCACAGCATGCCCCCTGCCCCCTCCCCCCTCCTCTCGCTCCTTCGGGCTGTCTTCCTTTCCTTTTGGGCCCCACGCTTGCCATCCACTTTCTGACCCCTCCTCTGTTCCCTGCCACAGGAGCTGAAGAAGCAGCGTCGCATGCGCAAGCTCGAACTTGAGAAGGAGAAGCAGATCAAGATTCGCGCCGGTCTCATGGCGCCGCCCCCGCCCAAGCGTGCGTGCCCCAGCCCCGACGACCGGACGCCCGAGCGGCCGAGCGCCCGTCGCCCGGCCCTTCCCCCCCTCCCCTTGCTGCCACCGCCCTCCGCCCCCTCCGCACCCACTCTCACCCCCTCCCGGCACTCCCAACAGTCAAGATCTCGAACATGGTCCGTGCGCTCGGCATGGAGGCCCTGCTGGACCCGACCAAGGCCGAGATGATGGTCAAGGAGCAGCGCGACCTGCGGCAGGAGATCCACCAGAAGGCCAACGCCGAGCGCAAGCTCACCCAGGCCGAGAAGCGCAGCAAGGTCCAGTCAAAGCTGGAGCAGGACCGCGCCAAGGGCATCCGGGTTCTTGTCTTCCGGTGCGTGGCCTTCCCCGTTGTGCCCTCGCCTCTTGCCTGCGAGCAGCCCACTGACGTCCGGTCCCTTGCCATATCCCCCCTCAGGATCACCGATCTCACGGACGGAGGCCACCGATTCAAGGTCGATGCCAACGCGCGGCAGCTCATGCTCTCTGGCCTGGCGCTCCTGTGCAGCCCCAACAATCTGGTCATTGTGGAGGGTGGTGCGTGAACCCCAGAGCCCAGTTGTCTTTGCACGCACACACGCACATGTTCTCCCCCCCTCCTCCCTCCGTCACACCTGCCCGTTCTCCATACATGCCTCCCCCCCTCCCCTCCCCCCAGCGTATCATGCTTGCTGCTCACATCCTCCCTCCCGGTGAACCGGCACCTGCACAGGCTCCAAGGCGGCCAACCACTACAAGAAATTGATGCTCAACCGAATCAAGTGGAACGAGAGGTCCGCCCCGGCGGCCGACGCCGCGTCCACTGCCGAGGCCAAACCGGCGATCGTGGCGGCTACCGAGGCCTCGGAGCCGAACGAATGCCACCTTGTGTGGGAGGTACGCGCGTCTGGTGGCCCTGCGCCTGCAAACGACGCCCAATGCTGACCTCCTCTCCCTCCCTGCCCCCCCCCCCCCTTCTCCTGCTTGCGCCGCCGTCCCAGGGTCTGGTCAGCGCGCCGGTCTTCGACAGCTTCCGATTCAAGGCCTTCAAGGATGAGAAGGCGGCGCAGGATTTCCTCCGCAGCCTGGATCTTGGTCACTACTGGGACAGCGCCAAAAACTTCACCGGCGAAATCACCATCTAATTGGGTCCCCTCGGGGGGAAGGTGGCAGCTGGAAGCTCCCCGGTCCCAGGGCCCCTCCGAAGCTCATCGGAAATACATGCCCCCACACAAGCCGGCACACAAAGGCGTCATTTCTCTGTACGGGGAGGTCCCTCGCTCTCGTTCCACGAGAGTCGCGAGGGGGAGTCTATTCCTCGCGCGCGCCGAGGGCATCGGTCGTCACAGCCGGGCTGGCCGGGTCAACGATGACCGGCAACATATGGGCCTCGGTCGTGAAGACGACCCGATGAATGGGGAAGTGCACCTTCTCGCTGAAGATCAAATACAGGTACTTCAATGTCTCGGCAAAGAAGAAGCTGATCGGTGGACGCGGGGGGAGCGGGAGAGGAGAGAGGCAGGTCAGTGGCAGCGGAATCGGGCCATGGCGAGCGGCAGGGCGCGACAGGCAGCGAGTGGCCCAGGAGCGAACAACAGGGGAGGACCAAGCCCCATTCAACAACCTCCCCCACTCGCTGGGGGGAAAAAAAAACACGCGAGCCCGGAGGACGCACCTCTCCATTCTATCGGTGTGGTTGTTTCTGGAGAGATCCGTCACGTCGGCCAGGGTGGCGTAACCACGGCCGGCTGGCAGCCGGCAGAAGCGCTCAATTGACTGGAAGATGTCCCACGCCCACTCCTTGTAGGCCGGGTCGGCTGGCAGGCCGAAGTGCAAGGTGGCCTGCTCCACGAGGAAGATACTCTCCACGGTCTCGGGTCGGAGGATGTACGCGGCCGAGGTGATAAGCGGTCCCTCGCGCTCGGTCTGGACCAGGGGCAAGTGGTCGAAGGATGGCCCGATGCCGGCGGTGCTCGTGCGGGCCGGCCGCTCGTGTGACGCCGCCTGGTCGCCATCCACCGGGGACATGGCCAACTCGGCCGGGCCGGTGGGCTCGTCGGTCGGCGAAGGTGAGGAGGCCTGGCTTTGGCCGGAGGCCGGGTCCCGGCGGAAGAGGCGCTTCCCGCCAAAGGGAGCCGTCCCACCGGCTGGGCTGAAGCCCTGGAAGTGAACGACCTCCGGGGCCAGCCCGGTAGGCGACTCGCGGTACAGGCGCACGCAGGTCCGGAGCAAACCCCGGGCGATGGCCAGATCGCGAGGTCGGCCCAAACGCACGGCACCCAAAGCCAGGGTACCGGGCAGGAAACACGACAGCTGATCCAGCTCGGTGGAGTGCATCTGTGCGGCGCCAAGCTTCTTGGCTCCAGTGGACAGCTCGCCATTCGGCAGTCGGAAGAGCAGGTGCCGCTCGAGGTCCCCGACGAAGGCCTCATCTGTGTGTGTGTGTGTGTGTGTACGTGTGTGTGTACGTGTGTGTACGTGTGTACGTGTGTACGTGTGTGTGTACGTGTGTGCGTGTGTGCGTGTGTGTGTGCGTGTGTGTGTGCGTGTGTGTGTGCGTGTGTGTGTACGTGTGTGTGTACGTGTGTGTGTACGTGTGTGTGTGTGTGTGTACGTGTGTACGTGTGTACGTGTGTACGTGTGTGTGTACGTGTGTGCGTACGTGTGTGCGTACGTGTGCACGTGCGTATACACGCGTACGTGCGTGCGTACGTGTGCACGTGCGTATACACGCGTACGTGCGTGCGTACGTGTACGTGTGTACGTGTGTATATACGCGTACGTACGTGCGTACGTACGTGCGCGTGTGCACGCATGTTGGGAAAGAGAGGGAAGGAGGAGGGAAATAAAAGAAAAAGCAAGAGTCAGAGGAACCACGAGTCAACACGCATGCCTGAGGGCTACTGCAGGGAAAGGGCAGACGCACAGAGGTGCCGGAAGCGCGGCTCAACCATGTTCGTCAGGAGATACTGCTTCAGCAAATACTCGTAGTAGGAGTCGGACAGGGCCCCGACGGTGAGCAGGCCACCATTCATCGGGCCGCCTGTGCGTCGGTCAATCAGCGTCGTCAGGAGGCCCATCTTGGCGAAGGGGGCGGCGCCGGAGCCGTCACCGCCACTGGCCAGGCCGAAGCGGGCCAGATACTCGTCGCCCATCTCCTCCAGGGTGTCGATGACGTGCTGCGCACGAGTGGCATACTTCGGGTCGCCGGTGACATGGCTCAGGTACTTGAGCTCCACCTGGACGGTGCCGATCTCGGCCAGGACGAAGTTGTTCCCGGTCCAATTGGGATTGAAGCCCGTCTCGCTGAGGAGGCAAAGGGGGGAGCCCCGGGGAGGAGGGACATGTCAGGCCCGCGGGAAACCCACCAGAGGGGGGGAGAAGAAGGGAGAGGAAAGAAGGAGGAGCCCAGACGCACGTGCGCATGTCCAGCGTGTGGTAGGGCAGGCCAACCGGCGAGTCGAAGGCCTTGAGCAGGGAGTCGCCCAGCTCGCGCGCCTTGGCCAGCAGGAGGCGATCGCCGCCCGACAGGAAGTGCGCCCCGAGCAGGCCGCCCAAATGGCGGATAGTCGTCTCGAAGACGGAAATCTGTCCCGGAGCCTTGTCCGTGCCAGGGACCGGGGTGTCGTCCAGGGAGGAGCCGCTGGACCCGGACGGCTGATTGTCCCCCTCGGACTCCGGGTCTGGCAGCAGCGGCTTGAACCCCGGGCCGGAACGATAGTTAAGCCGGGCGACGTGGGTCCGTGCCCGGGCAAACTCCTTTTCCAGGCCCATCAGCAGCATGGTGTCCAGCGAGTCCACCAGGGTGATGCCCCAGCCATTCCAGTTGTTGCGTGGGGCCTGCGACAGAGGGAGCAATTCGTCTGCCCCGAAGGCCAGTGCCTCGTACGCATTCCAGCCATAGAGGAAGGCCTTGGGCGAGGGCAGGCGGACCGAGGGGGAGGCGGAGAGCGGCAAGAGCACCAGTTAGCCGGAGCAGGGAAGAGGCGCGCGGTGAATGCATCTGCCTGTCACAGGAGGGGCAAGGAGGAGAAAAGCGAAAGGAGAAGAAAATCAAAAGGAGAAGAGAAAAAAGAAGGAGAAAGGGCAAAAGGAGGAGCAGGAGGTCGGAACGCACATCACGGATGGCCTTCCGTCGGCCGGCATGGTCCTTCGGGAAAAGAGCCAGCAACCGGCGCGAGTGGGCATCCGCATCGGGCGTGAACCCGGGCGCAATGTCGCCGATGGTCAGATCAAAGTCGACCGCCGACCGGAAGGACGACAGCCAGGCGGGCGGGGGGATCGGCCCCTCCGGGGCCCAGGCCGAAGCCCAGGCCGGGGGCACCTTGGTCAGGGCCCCGGCATCCACGCCGCCGGCCGACCGGAATTCCGGGTTCAACCAGTCCGGCAGCCGGGCGGTGTTGAAGTCGCCGTCGGCGCCCACGGGGACTCGGCCGCCGGAGGGTGGCGGCCCGGATGGCGTGGCCGGCTGGCTGCCGTGCGGCGGGCTGCCCGCATCGGGCGCCGGGGCTGGCGTGCCCTCGGCCGCCGGCGGCGGGGCCGGCGGGGCCGGCGGCCCCCCGCCTGCTGCCGGCCCCCCGCCACCCGGCGCGGCAGTCCACATGCCCCCGGCGGACCCCTGTACCAGGTACACCAGCACCACCAGGGTGAGGGACATCAGTAGCAGGGCCAGGCAGAGCACCTGCGAGGGGGCCTTACGCAGGGAGAGGTTGCGCGCTTCCAGCTGGAAGCGCTTGCGGAAGCGCCGCTTCAGGTCGAACCAGCGGCTGTCGCTGGCAGTGACCGAGGCGTACGGCGTGCCAAGGGCCCCGAGCCCGCTCAGGGATCCGGAGTCCCCGCGGCCGGCGCCCAGATGCCCGGCACTCGCGCCGCCGATGCCAGCCCCGCCGCCGCCGCCGCCGCCGCCGCCGCCGGGCAGCAGCGCGCGCAGCTTGCCCAGGAGGCCCGGCTGGGTCCGGGGGGCGCCGCCGGACATGTGCGGCCCGGCCAGGCCGGGCGTCAGCGGCCGGTAGCCGCCATACCCGGCCCGATAGTGGTGTGGCAGGATGGGCGCGTTGCCGCGGCGGTCATTGGCGAAGCTGCCGAGCATGGCACGCGCGCACCGTACCGCCGGCGAAGAGGCTCGCTCGCTCGGGGCGTCTGTCGTGGAGAGGGGGCGGGGGGGGGAGTCACAGTGCGAGGGCGTGTTAGCCAGGCAATGCACAGGGAGCGTGCTCAAGGCAACAGCGGGATTGGGCGCACCTCGACAAAGGCAGCCGGCGCGCGCGGGAGGGGGGCAGCCGCCGTGAGAGCACAGTCAGCGGGTGATGTGTGATGAGGACGGGCAGAGGGAGCTGCGTGTGTGTGGGTGGGTGGGTGTGCACGCGGGCACGCGCTGGACGGGCTGTGTGTGGAGGGGAGGGGGGAGAAGGGGAAGGGGGGGGGGGGAGAGGGGTGCGGATGAAGAGGGGTGCCGGGCCCGGGTCCGAGCCCCCAGTTGGGGGCCATCGGCCTGACAAAAAGGCCTGTCCGGGCGCGCCCCCGAGACACCGCTGTCGAAGGCTCCTGCCCGCTGGTGTCTCCCCCCCCCCCCTCCCCCCCTGCCGCCCCGTACACACAGCCCGGCTGACGTGACCGGCGGCGGGGTGTGCCCTGTGAGATCCGCCAACACGGGGACAGGCACGCTGATTATGCCCAGCCACAGCCCGCACGACACGCCCGGCCGGCCGTGTCCTCCCCGGTCGCTCCCTGTGGGCGGCGCGCCCCGGGGCGGGGGAGCACCCCGGGCCCGAACTGCCGCCGCTGGGGGGCTGTCTATTGCGACGGGAAGACGCCGGCCCCGGCGGCCGCATCCGCGCAAAAACATGCACAGGTCAAGGCTCTGTGTCTGCGGCCACCCCTGCTCAGGTCACACACCCGGGTCCCCTCCCCTGTGGTCCCCCAGGGGAGGGGGAGGCGGGACACCCAGGCGCCCGGCCAGCCACCGCCCCTCGAGCCGATCACCACCAGTCATTGGGGCGAGGCGCGCGCAGCGCACCCGGTGTGACGTGCGCTCGGGGCGGGAGTCAAAAAGATTGTGTGATTGGAGTGGGACTCGAACCCACGAGGTTTCCCACTAGTACCTGAAACTAGCGCCTTAACCACTCGGCCATCCAACCGTAACTGAGGATGGTACCTCCATTTTGGCCATAAGACCCAGTGCCAAAGGACGGCCCCGTCGCGAGGAATCTAGGGTAGCTAATGCGAAAATCGCCTCGAATCTGGTCCGATAGACATCGAGATGCCGAGCTACGGTATGCACGTCGATCATGTTCTCCTGTGGTGAACAAGACACCAACGGCGGCGGCCCTCCCTATTGACCCTGGCGCCGCGATAGCAGGGCCCTGGGAGGGACGTTCTGTTCGTGCTTGCCAGGCAGATCCGAGCCGCCGGCACACACATCTTTGAACAATAATAATGATATGTGATAAATAAAATACACGAACATACCCCCTTTTGCATTAATCGAAACACACTCTCGGACACCCCTGACCGAGGCGTTCCTCTCCTCGCCAACGGCCCGGCCCTGTGTAAACAAAAACCGGCGCCAGCCAACGACAGCGGAAAATTGGGACCGGGAGGAGCCCGAAAAAGAGGCCCCCTTGTTCCCCCCGGCAGTTGGTGGGGATCGCCCAGGGCCGCGCTCCCCCCACCTCCCCTATGTCGGCGCATGTTCCCCTGTTTCCGCCGGGGTCCGGGGGGAGGGGGAGCCCGGCGCCGATGCCCGGTGCCCGGCTGTCAAGCTGTGCCTCGCTGCCGGGGTGTCGCCGTCGGGCTGCGGGCTGCCTGCTGGAGGGCCGTTGCACATTGTAACCATAATGTCACCTCCGACGCTGCGTCGGAACTTCGCTCCGCTCACCTCCTCCGCACCTGCCTCACCTCGCCCTGCTTTGTTTTCCCCT